TGGGGGGAACCATTGGCAATTTAGCACCCATATAAATGTAGAATCTGGGGCCAGGACTGTAATTTATATGCAAATGTCAAAAGGAATCTATGCTACAGAATCCCCCCTTTTGGCTGACGAAGTTCACCTGCAAACATCGTCAGACAACAGTTGTCATGATGGTCGGACAGCAGGTGGATCATGATGATCGGATGGCAGGTGGATTATGATGGCTAGATGGCAGGTGGATCCTGAAGGCCAGATGGCAGGTGGATCCGGAAGGCCGGATGGCAGGTGGATCCTGATTGTCAGATGGTAGGTGGATCAGGAAGGCCGGATGGCAGGTGGTTTCTAATTTTCCTCAGCCTTTGGATCCTCAGCTTGGGGTTTAACCTTGGTCAGGTTCAGCTGGTACTCTTCACTTGGAAGGTGGTACAGCGCCAGGTCACCGAGGTGGAGGATGGCACCTTTGGGCACTTGAATCCACATACTCTGGTTGGGCAGGCTGACATGGGTGGCAGTGTCATGCTGGTCATAGTTCAGTGTGGCGGTACGGATGGGCGTGTTGACGAGCCAATGATTTCCCACGATCTCTGCTTGCGTTTCTGTGACTTGTGAGCGAGGCTTGGCCTCAGCAGGGCAGAGTGTCTCTCTTTGCATGGGTTGTAACCATAGACTGTATAAAAACATGGACGTAGTGTCCTTGACGTCACCCGTAGGGCTAGGTGGGCATCCAGCTAGGTGGGCGGAGACGGCCGTCGCCATCTTGACAGCGCGTCACCGCTCACCGTCATATCACTCCCGGATAATCGAAGATGGGCAAAGAGGCGGGAGCTGGTTGCTGAAACCATGCCCACCTAGCTCGATGGTGGTGACAGCAGCGGCAATCCACCTGTCACTCAAGTGGCCACGCCCTTAATTATGCAGAACTTTAAGGCTTAATATAATTTAAATGGATGAGTTAAAAAAAAATTGTACCCCCCTCACAGTTGTCATGAAGGGCAAAATTAGCTATATAGACCAAAATCATTTTTTGAACCAGGCTGTAATCATGTTTTTTTCTGCTGTAAAGTTGGGCATTTTAACATGGGGAGTCTATGGGATTGCGACCCTGTGGCTTGGCCTCAGCAGGGCAGAGTGTCTCTCTTTGCATGGGTTTTAACCCGCAGATTCCTTCCGTGTTGTCTCGGAGGAAGGGCTTGCTGGGGCAGAGATAATGAATGTCATTGGTCAAGGTACACATGCGCCGGTTTGGGGCCAGGTATAACTGTGGGTTACAGTCATGGTAGGCTACCATATCTGGGGTGTGGATCCTGATGTGAGTGTAAATGTTGTCAGATTCAATGATGGGTAGATTCAGAAGAAACGCCATCTCGCTCTGCTTGGGGTCGACGTGTAGCAGGATGGATCCTCCCAAGGAGTAGGCAAGGTGGGCTTGGAGAGAGTCAGGTGGATGGGTAGTAGCAGATAATATACATGGCAAGGTGTTTGTCTTCTGTTAGCTCTGTTCTGCACATCTGCTCCTTGACCACTGGCATGACTGAAATGATGGTGACGACCTTGGAGGGTGCTGTTGACACTGTGTGGCCTGAGCTTCCTCCCAGAATCATTGAATCTGGGATGGGTCCAATTATTGGTAAAATCAATTCAAAGTCATGGAAGTCATAACTCACTAGCCGTCCCAGACGGTAGGCCTTGGGCACTCTGACATCCGTTGCCGTGCAGTTGTTAAACAGGATGTACACTGCCCGAGATGTCACTTCAACGAGGAGTGTGGCTTCCAAAGTGAGGCCCAGTTCCCCACATTCGGGTGAAGGTTGGAAGAAGCCTAGGGTGTGGCTGAGAGCTTGGCCGCTTCGCAGGTTGAGTTGAACAGCGACCCCTTTGGTGTAAGCTGGTACTACAGTCTCTTGTTCATTGATTAGCGTGCAGGCCTCAGGGATGGTTTGGCCTGACAGGAGGTTCTCATGGTTGACAGGAACTGTGGGTGGCTGTGAGGTCATTGGAGCCCATATCACTTCATTGATCATGTCCACATGAGTCCTAAGGCGAATCAGAATGTCCGCTCCAATGTAGACGTCATGCGGTGCGTCTGGACGGACCAGGAAGTAATGGGTTAGACACCTGTCATTCCACCTCAAGTTCAGGGCACAGGTGCCCTTGGCAGTCACCATAGCTGATGGGCAGGGATTCAAGGGGAATCGTGTGCGCTTGTTAGCAAAAGGAATGTTCGTTGTGTGCTGTTTGAGAGCATTGAACTGTGAGAGGCTGATGGCTGAATTGTCTGCCCACAGTGCCAGTATGGGGTCTGTTGTTGTGACATAATTCAGTTGTAAGCCCCCCTTAACCTGGGGGCCGTATGAGTCAGAGTCTTTGGCTAGCTGGAAAGTACAGAGCAGCGACCTTGAACCTCGCTCTTGGGCCGAGACGTTCCCGCGGCTGGCGGCGAGATTTTCCGTGACTTTTGTGACCTGGCAGTCTGTCTGGGGTGATCTTGGTGACTGAGGCGGCCGAGGTTCTTGCACTAGGTTCTTGACATTAAAGTGAGGTCAGCTCCAGTGTCCACCAGGGCCTCCAGTCTCACCTCATTTTCCAATGTGATGGCCAGGTAGAGTTTTTTGGCCACCCCCCTTTCGATTAGGTTCCCCAGGAGTCTTGGCACTGGGGCTTGTGTGGTGACTGGCAAGCAGTCAGAGCTGGTCTTGTGTGGCTCGTCAGGGAGGCAGACCACCAAAACCGCGCTTTCTGGTACTTTGCGGTCCAGGCTGGAGGTGTGGTGCGGGATATCTGGTTCTGTTGTTAACAGTGGATTAGCAGTGATCTGTTTGGGAGGTTAATTTTGAGCGGACTCTGAGTGGGCGTTGGGGTCAGATTAGTGCTGGGTGGTATACCGGTTCATACCGAATACCGGTGTTTATTTTTGTTATGATGGTCATACCGCCCAGCACTAGGTCAGATCTCAGGCTTAGTCATAACTGATCTGACTCATCCCTTTTGTCTCCCTTGTGGTGCTTTTTCTGGAGGAGTTCCTTTAAAAGTCTCATGATCTCTGTTGAATCAGATGTAGCTTCCTGGTTCTGTTCTGCTGATGGTTTGTATTTGGGCTTGTCCAGGGCATGTTGAGAGGGGTTCTGCTGCTGGCAGTCCGAGCTCGATGCTTGTGTCGGTGAGTGTCGGTTCCCCTTGGGCCGTCTCTTGGCTTCCCATGTGGCTCCACCCCTTCGGTTGAGGGGTGGTTGTGACCTGTCCCAGGATCTCGCGGGGCGCCCAGTCTGGTGCTTAGGACGGGCACCACCATGGCCACGCTGCTCTCTGCTGGCTGGGAAGGATCTTGACATGTGTTGACAGGTTTGTCACTGTGGCTTGGCTCGGCGCCCTCTAGAGCTCTGAACTCTGATTAGTGACACGATAGATTGTGGGTGTTTTTCCTGTCTTTTCAGATGCAGTCCTTTGTTTGGCATAGGCCTTATGGGCCAAATCTCGCAGCTGTTGGGTGGACATCGTCCATGGGCAAGCCAGAACCCCCAAGTGGTGACTCATTCTTGGGTGCAGATTCCGGGGGAACAGAGTTTTGAAGTTGAAATCATCTTCCATTCCTGGCTCGTTCCGTGCTCCAAAGTAGGCCTGTCTAAGCCTGTTGTAGTAGGCCTGCGTGGTTTCCTGTCTGCCCTGTTTAAGGTCCATGGCAGTAATCAGTCCTTGCTCTGACTCTGGGTCAGAGAACTCCTTAATCAAAGCCTGCTGCAGTTGCTGGTAATCCACTTTGACTGTTTCTGGCTGCCGGTCTAGAAAGCTCCGCACCTCACGGCTGGAGGTGATCCTGAGCAGATAGAGTCGGTCTCGTGTGGTAACATTGGCAACTGTTTGCACGTGAAAGTCAATGTCTTTTATGTAGGCGTGCACGTCATGGCCTCCTGCAGGGTTTGGAGTGAAAGTGGGAATATTTCTGGCCAGCTTATCCAATTCTTTAGGTGACACATCGTGACTGGACTTTGGAAAGGCTCCCACCCCCTTGCTGCTGCTGGGGGTTCTGGGATGCTGGCAGGTGATGTCTTGAGCAGTGGGCTCTCACCCCCCTTTCTTACTGGGAATTCTTGACTAGGAGGTATCAGCCTACTGGTTAGGGGAAATTCTGTGGGCTGCATTTCCCTTTCAGAGTCACTTTGCAGTCTATATGCATGTTTAAGCTCTCTGTGAACAGTGTCAAGTTCTTCTTATAAATAGTCTCTTTGTTGGGCCAGGGCACTGATTTCAGCCGGCCTTCGCAGGCCTTGGCCCTAGCCTCTCTCTCTTTGAGTTCAGTCTCTGCTCTCATCAGGAGAGCCTCAGCTTGCTGGAGTTTTTCACTCAGTTCCTCTCTGGTGTCCTTTTCCCACTGCTCTCAGCATGCTGTGTTTACACGGAGATCAGTCAAGGCTTTCCGGAGTCTTTCTACTTCCTCCTGCAGCTCTGGGTCCTTTTCATCTGCCATCCTGTGCTGGTGCTGGTCCAGTTAACTTTGAGCAAGCACCAGGTTTCTCTGAGCCTCCTCAGACTGGAGCTTCAGCGCTGCTGCTTCCTGTTCCATGCGGGAGATGCTTGCTTCACCCAGCTTTGCCAGACCGAGGAGGTTGTGGGCGAGGGGCCCGAGGATCTTGGTGAGATCTTTGTGGCTGTAGTCCTGTGTCGGATCGTGTGACATCAGGGCGCTCAGGTTGTCGTCGAGCTGTTCCCAGCTCAGGTGCTGCAGGCCGCCGGCGGCTTCAGCCAGGAGGGTACCAGTTATAGCACTCAGCCAGGACTCTAGTCGATCCCAGTGGGCATCAGGGCTGGATGATCGAGACATGCTGGCTCACTGGTGAAGAGTGTATGTCTATGTATGGTCTGTTTGATGAGTACAAACAGTTAGCGGAGTTCAGTCAAAGATTCGGTCTCTAGGCAAACAAAACAGAACAAACTGGAAAACAAACAAACCAACAAATCAAAGCACAGAGAGAGATAGAGGAGAGAGCAGGTTTAAGCCTTTCACTGCTGTTAGGGGTTATGACAGGGCCTACAGAGTAGAGGGCACTGCTGGATCATAACATCTAGTGTATTGGCCTTGCTGGGATAGCAGGAGCAGGCTAATTACCTTAAAGATTGAGGAGAAACCTGATTTTGGGGTTTCGCTAGCTGGATGGGTCAGTATTCTATGGGCTAGGCTTAGTGATGGATTGAGGTGATCCAATCGGGATCCCGTGACAGCTCACTGTGATCCGCCGTGGAGACTAGAGGGGGTGCCTACCTATAGGTAAACACAAATGGCAGCTCACTGTGATCCGCCGTGGAGGCAACCGTCGCTTCACCAACTAAGCACTAGAGGGAGTGCTACCTATAGGTAAACACAAATGGCTAGAATACAGAAATTAACTTTAAATTTAAATTCAAACACTGTTTAAACTACATTTAAATAAGTGAGTGGTAAAGTGAGAGAGAAGAAGGGGAGAGAAACCTGATCAAATAATAAAAAAAGGAACAAAACAAAAAGAAAATGATAAAACTAATAAAGGATAAAGTAAAAAAGAAAAGTATACTAAAATAAAGAACTAAAACGGGAGGTACCTAGAATGGTGTGAATGATAATAATGACTAAAGGAGCAGAAGGGAAATTAAAAATAAAACAAAATTGAAATACATGGACTTAGGGAGAGAGAAGTCGACATAGCTAAGAATGCCCACAAGGTGGAGTGGGTGAGCCCCAGAGGCGGACAAAGTACTCAACTCCATTACTTGAGTGAAAGTACAGATACTGCTGGTCAAACATTACTCCATTACAAGTAAAAGTTGTAAAGACAGATTTTTACTTAAGTAAAAGTACAGAAGTACTTGCTTTTAAAAGTACTTAAGTACCAAAAGTAAATTTCCCTGTTTATGTCAATGCACTGTTTTATTATTGTTGTTTGTAATACTTACAATACTTCTGAAGCAACTTAGAATACATTACACCTGCTGAATACACTGACTAATAGAAATGTAGTGGAGTGAAAAGTACAATATTTGTCTTTCAAATGTAGTGAAGTTAAAGTCATAAGTTCCCAGAAAAAATAATACTCAAGTAAAGTAGATACTCAAAAAGTGTACTTAAGTACAATACTCAAGTAAATGTACTTAGTTACTGTCCGCCTCTGGTGAGCCCACACAAGGTAAAATCAGGAGGGTAGAGGTGGCGTTCAAGAAGTGTTAGATACTTAAACAGCCTGCCCTCTAGCGTTAATTTAAGGTACTGTGCCTCAACTCCAATCGTGCTTAAAACTGATCGCGTTTAGTGTGAGATTACAAAGTTTGAATGTGCCCCTAGACGAACATTTCTTGATCCTACACCTTCCACAGAATATATAAATACAGACAAATACATTTAGACCACTTAACTTAATGATTGCTATCGGGATGTGAAGAGACTTTCAACCAGCATAACAAAAAATGTTTCTGAAGACAATCACCTATTGCACCTTTAATTATAATTGGTTATAATTAATAATGAATATTTAGATTAGAACTTAGAATTAACTGTAGCAGAATTTATATTACAATTATTTGATCTGAACATCCACCAAGCAGACAATATAATAATTTATCAATTCTAGGAAAGATTATTTTCCTGGGCAAGAAAGAATAACTTTCCTACTTTGTGCAGTACTAGCAGTAGTTTAGCATGTAGCAAGGATCAACATTCAGTGACTCCGAATTGTGAGCAGCACACAGAGAGAATTAATTGTGAATATAAGGGATTTAATAAATGAAACTATAGCTAACACAACTAAATTAAGCAAAACACATATATACAGAATGAAGGAAAGTAAGGAAGAGAGAGAAGAGCAAAAGAATGTCAGTATTTCACATCAATTAACCACAACCTAATGAGAATCATCAAAGTGTTAGAACGAGCCGTTTTAGGGGGGCGTGGCAGAGTCTTAACTTTGATAAAGAATATCTCTTTGGTTTTGAGACTTTAGTCTTTGCAACTTCAGGGATCTTATCTATGCACAACCAGCTTGTAACACTCCAAAGAGAAAGGAAAACTTGAAATCGCATCATATGACCACTTTAAAAACTTATTAAGACGCGGAACGGCCGTATCTCTTTGCGACCACAACAAACGGGAGACTTTTCAGATGCGCACTTCAGCTTCTCCTCAGCATCACTCGTGAGTCAAACAAGCGCGGAAAAGGTGCAGGTGTTACTGTGCTCACGGCACACGCTCTTCAACTGTACGCGAATATGAGTCGCACGCTCACTTCATAAATAAACCGCACTAGATACTGAGAGCAGTGGCGCAAAAACAGGGTATGCAGTATATGCAGTGCATAGGGGCGCCCAGTGCCGGCCCGTCCAACAGGCGCTTAAGGGGAGGGCCCCGCGGCCGAGAGGTTGTCAATTAAATTTCTAGTTTGGCTTGTTCGCGATGCATCTCCGCTGCGCAGACCGATCGGCGCATGACATCAAAGACATCAAATTGGAGAGCAGACGACTCTTTTTGAATCGCTCTCGTGGTACTTTGATGTCAAAACAGAGATCGGTCTGCGCAGCACTGCTTCAAGCCGAACACGCCTTCTGACTACGTATCTATGGATGATGCATGCACCTGTTCTGTACAGTGAGACATACTGTATATGTCAAATGCACGAAAAAATCGGTCTGTGCGATCAATAAATTTGCATGGGTTTAACATGGGTCTGAGCCTATTTTCAAACCTGTTGTCCAACAAAGAGAACATTTAATTACATATTTTTGCTCCAAATTAATTTCATTACATCAGTCGAGTGTTTGATGTTACTTCCTTTTGTGAGCTGATGTTTCATATCACAGAACGGGCACAATCATTATTTTTTAGTATTCTATACAATGATAAAGGTTATGATGATTAGCATTGCATTATAAATATACTTAATTCATATAAAAAAACCTGAGATGGCTCAAAGAACAAACCATTTAGTCGCAGTCGTATGTTTATTGTCTATCTCCTCAGTTAAAACGTGTCTACTTGCCTTTAATTCAGCTATGCATAGGTATGCCTTTGTCCATATTAGGGATTTCCTGGAACAGCCTATGATTTATGACTTCTGTGAGTTTTTCACTTGTGGATTTACTGCGCGAGGGTGCCCTCCAGCTACCAGAATGAAACAGACATTGCATTACACAGACATGCATTACTCACTAATGCTCACAACACCTAATTTTGGGTAAAAATAGGAAAAATTATATTTCTAAGTTTTTCTCCAGTGTAGAGGTGTTCTCTTTCAGTGGATGCATAAGATTTCCTGACAAAAAATTAAGAAATTACTGTCAAAGATTTTTAGACATTTATATAGCCCTCCTGCATGTTAACAGGTAGCCTAATGCTGCAGTTTTCTGTAAAATATACTACTAATAATCATCATCAATAATTATTTAGTTTCATGTTTTTTTTTGTAATAACAATAATCAAAAAATGTTGTAGTCATACTGATATATAAAAACAACATTTTTGTCCAAATTGTGCAGCCCTACAATCAGGCACAACAAACTATGTGTTCTTCATCATTTTTAGCAAATAAAGAAAAAGTTCGTCTGAAAACATTTCTTGTTACGGTTCAGATTTTGTGTCCAGATTTTGGAATTCACTGGATATTGACTATCAGTATAGCTCACTTGCACTCCTATTTTTTTTTTTTTTTAAATCTGTTTAAATATTTTTACGTCTATGTTGAATATGTTACACTTAAAGCACATTTACCCTTAAATATTTAAATTGCCATTTTTTTGCTTTCTCTTAACTCATCAAATTGCTATGACAGTTTTTAAACTAGTGGGGCCCATTTTCATTATCCTGCCTAGGGCCCCACAACCCTACAGGCCGGCACTGAATACTGTGGTATACTGTGGTAAGCAAATAAAGACAATGCATGCACACATATGCTGTAATGCTTCTTTCTCAGTGACAGATAGTTGGTTTTTGCAATGTTCAGTGTAAAGATTGCCCATATGAATTTTGTTTCTTACGTATGAAATAAAATCTTATTTGCAATGCAAGAAATCGAATTCTTAATGTGTTAGAAGTTTTATGCACCTCAATACTTTAGAGCCTCAATGCACAGTAACACTAGTTAAGAGCTTCTATGAACCCTTATACTGTGTTAGTTCTTCTAACCAAATGATGCGAATGCAAAACCACATATGCTGTAAAGCATCTTTCTCAGTGAGAGATTGTTGGTTTATGTAATGTTAAACATGCCGATGCTTGCTGATAAGAAAGATGTTTCTTATTGTGTTAGAAGTTGTATGCACAAGTTATGTAAGAGCCTCAATGCGCAGCAAGACTACTTTAGAGCTTCTAGGAACACTTATACTTTGTTAGTGCTTCTAAGCAAATGAAGAGAATGTAAGCACACATATTGGTTCATACAATGTTAAAGGAACACTCCCCTATTTTTGAAAATAGGCTCATTTTCCAAACTCAAACAGTTGAGTTTTACCGTTTTCGAATCCATTCCGCCGATCTCCGGGTCTGGCGGTAGCACTTTTAGCTGTAGCTTAGCATAGATCATTGAATTCGATTAGACCGTTAGCATCTCGCTCAAAAATGACTAAAGAGTTTCGATATTTTTCTTATTTAAAACTTGACTTCTGAAGTTACATGGTGTACTAAGACCAACGGAAAATGAAAAGTTGCGATTTTCTAGACCGATATAGCTAGGAACTATGCTCTCATTCCGGCGTAATAATCAAGAAACTTTGCTGCCGTACCACGGGTGCACCAGGCGCAACGATATTACGCATCGCCTGAAAATAGTACCAGCTAGGTAACTTCCAATGAGCCTATTTTCAGGCGCTCCGTAATATCATTGGTGCCCATGGTACGGCAGCAAAGTTCTGTAAGGGAAACAGGTCAATTTAGCTCAAAGGGAATCATTTATGTTTTAATAGGGAATGGTTGCTGATTGGCTGGAAGTTCAGTAGTCGTTGAAGTGATGTCTTGGAAAGCCAGTGGTTGGGCGTTGGCTGAAGATGCGGAGTTGTGGGCTGGTTGAAGTTTTGAGGCAGTCACAGACTCGAGGTGAACTCGGAGACAAAACAACTCAGAACACGAAACTCTCAAAGGGAAAGAAACTAAATTAAAGTAGAAGAATAGAAGTAACGAGACAAGATGGTTTTCGTGGCTAAGTAGCAGCGTGCGTGCTGGCCGAAGCACGCTTGAACGGCACTCGACGAATTCACGGGCAAAAAGCATGGCTAAAAGCAATGACTAAAAGCATAGCTAAAAGCTATGACGAAAAGCATCACTAAAAGCAGTGGCTAAAAGCGATGACTAAAAGCTAGAAGCATAATTTGATGGTGTCCTGAGTATTTAAACTGGGCTTTTGGACACATCC